GTTACACTGCTTATCATGCTGGTCGTCCCAGTCACTATGGTGGGAAGGTAAGTGTGCAGGGACAAGGATTCTCTGTATTTTTGTGTTGTGACTCATCGCTCACTCAGATAGTTAGTTTGTTCTTTGTGGACATATTATCTTATTTTGTTTTTAGCATTTTTGGATGGGAGTTGCTTAAAGTGAATCAGTGGCACCAAACTTGGCAGGCGATTAAGACATTCTTTAACTATGGTCTTGTGGCTTAGCATGTACACCGTGTGTGCAGCTAATATGTCAGTGTTGATGGATGCTAATGACATCCTCGTGAGCTGAGTGTTTTGTGCTGTGACCTTTAGTGCTGTGGGAAATATGGCTACTTTTGTTGGATCACTTGTGAGTGTTGTTGGCCAGGTGATGGCAATAACACTGAGGGGTGCTTGATGTGATCATTGTGTGTCCATAGCTCTCAATTTTGTGGTTGGTCACTAGTACGCTTGCTTTACTGAACCTTGTGGATTAAAGTAACTTGTGGTTTAAGGTCATTTGAATGTGACCATTTGTGTGGTGGAAACAACAGATCACTTGATTGTGGGTATTTGTTGCTACTTTTAGTTTTGTGTTGTAGCAAGTCAAGTAATCATTTTGAGTTTGTGACTGTTGTGCTTCTTTGTGTGGTCACATGTTACTTTTTGTGTGTTCAGTGTGGAAACTTCAAATCCTCATGCAGGGGCATCCATGCTTAAAGATGCCAACTATAATGTGAACACTGTGCTTCTGTTAGCTTTTACTTTTATTTCAGGTTTGTGGTTCAAGGACCTGAAGGCTTTAGAGGGTCTTTTAATAAATGTAGGGGTCCTAGAGGAACCCTTTGAGGGAGGAGGTGTTGCGTCCCTCTGCAGCCCCCTAATCTCCTCAGTGTGTTCACCTAGTCAGGTGCTGATAAAGGCATACCTGAGGCAGGCTTTCAGGAAGCCTCACTAGCCGTGCCTGGGTGCTACCAGCCATTTTAGCCAACCTGCTATGCATTTTAGGATTAAAACCTCTTCTCACCCACAATCTGGTATTCATCTCTTTTTTTATGTTGCGGCTTTTGAGCCGGGTCGTAACAGAGACTTAACAAGGGTCCAATTTTGAATTAAGGTCTAAGGTGTAGGTAGCCCAATGCTTTCATCTGTGGAGGTGAAGTGGTGGCCAAATAGTCACTTTAATTGAGTTCAGTTGACTCCAGTTCACTTCAGTCAAATGAGACATTGACAG